TCTCGAGCATAATGAAACTAAAATATTTTATGAACTCAAAGACACTTTCCGTTAGACTCAATTAACTTTTACACAATTTTGTATATTTATGGTTGGTTTAAAACTGTTTCCTGTTATCACATGCCTTAGTGCGAGCCGGCAAATGTGATTAATAAAGGTGGTTTTCAATCCCAGCGAATTACAAATAATTGAAATATTGTATCTTTGTGCGTTGTCCTCGGTCATCATATGCTTTAAGCCCGAAAGCTGTCATGCTGAAGGTGCCCTGTCACGCACTCGCCTTCCTTCTGGGCTGCGGCAAGGCCAATTGCTCTTAAACTGAATAATTACAGCATAAACAGGAAAGCACTCTCCTAGATCAGAGTACCACGTAAATCGGAGATATGCCACTACTGTCTTGATGTTCAACCAAGGAGCGATTTTCTGTTACACCCAAGGCCTTAATGGGAATGTTCCACATTTCATGATATTGAAGCAAGCATCAGATGTGATACAACACTCTCACCCATAACTATTGGTATACGTTGAAGTGTAAATGACTGCTCTAGACAGCACGGTTTCTCTGTTTGGTAAATATTCTCCTCAATACGTCATTGTTTAATTAGCGCATAGTACCATACACAAAATTGATTTAGGGCCAATTGAACGCCGTTATATCTGGAAATCATGCTCACGAAAGCCAAATATGAACGACTCGACAGTTATATTTTCCTTGGCCTGGATCGCTGCATGACTAATTCAATGGCAGGATTTAAATGACGTTATTTTGGCGTCATGAGTGACTGAGTGAGCTCGAAACTGAGTGAGCTCGAAATGGTCTCGTCAAAATAGTCTGCACATCCTCGCATTCAAAGCATATTTGTCAAAGCACTCTTTCAGCATATTTGTCAAAGCACTCTTTCAGCAACATAGCATATTTGTCAAGCACTCTTTCAAAGCATATTTGTGCACTGATTACTAACTCCACATCCATCGCTAGCCGGCATTGACCTCCTACGACCACCGGTCCGCAAGGCCATCACACCATCGTGCGAGCTCCAGTTCACGTCCTGCTAACAACTCCGCTGCTATCGGCGCGTTTCGGTGGCAAGGGCGTCCTTACAACGCCGCGCCGCTTACAGGCAGCGACCAGTGACGATAACCGACGTGCAAACAGCGCGCGGGACGGCGGGCGCGAGCCTGCGGCGGGCGCGGACCTTGGCGGTGGCCGGCGCGTTCACGTGAGAAGTGGTCCGTGATCCAGCCTGTCGGACACAGATACCGTATCGCTGAGCACACGGATCGCCGGCCCCCTGTCAACAGGCGCGTCATAGAGGTGACGATAGCGCGCACCGGTATCGGCACATACGGAGCTGCAGGCTGTAAACGGGCCCCCAGCCCGCCGGAGTTTAAGCTGCCTTGGGGTCACCAGGTTTAGCGTTCAGGTATGCGTGTCTTGAGCTTGTGCGCCAGCCTCAATAAAGCCGTAGTATTTTGTGATTGCGATCTCGGTGCTGCGACTTGGATGGGAAAAGGGTTTATTTGGTATGATTTCTTTAAGGTGACCTCCATTCATTTCGGATGACCAATAATGTCATTTTGGCATTTTAGCTTGACTGTTACATCCCAGACAATTAGTGATACGCAAGCATTTTCCATCCAACCTTGGCTCATGCTCTCGATATCTGGCCCTTCTTCTGCAACCATATACACTGAACCGGATGCTGCACGATCGGTTACTCAAAAAAATCTAAAGGGATTTAAGGGATAACTTGCCCCTGATGCTGCATCATACAGGGGCAAGTTATTTCAGGCAGGTGGAACATGATCATGCGACGAATGTGCCGCAGTCAGTTGAGGCGCAGTAAAGGCGAGGCCACCGCGTAAACAACCTGTGCCATATGCCAGCATGGCACGAACGAATTCATCGGGGGAGGGGGGGGGGGGAGGAGTATGCCAGAGTGACGTAACGGTCGACGGGCTAACGGGACTCAAGCACCTCTCGACTCAGCCAGTTTCAGCAGACGCCGTGCCAATTTCGTGAGGTCATTGGTTATGACGTCAGACTACGCGACGCATCAGAAACTGGACGCCGTCACCCAGCGCCCCCAAATCAGGCAGGCTCTGTTCTGGACTCTGGTTGGCCTGCAGTCACCGCAGTCCGACCTGCGTGCGCCATGCTCGACTTCCAGGAGAGTCTATCGGTGACCCGCCGGTTACCTGTCGGTGACCTGCGGGTGAGTGGTTCCAGGCAAAAGGCCGTGACTTTCATACGCACCGACATCATATGGAAATATGGTGGGCAGATGTGCTGCGGAGTAGCGGTCAGGTGCCATGCTCTGTTTCAGTCGATCTTTCCAGCTTCAGTCCACCTTTCTGTCCATCGTGGTGTTTCACCTATGTGTAAATTGAACTTTTCTCGACCCTTGTTTGTAATTAATATGCTCCATGGCCCCTGCCGCAACCTCTAACCTTTGAACCTGTGCGCAAGGGCTTGCGAGAGAGGTCGTGGGTCACATTAAATGGTGCAATTTGCTGCACTTGCCGTTGTCTCATGAGATGTACGTTTAAATTTTTAGGTCACAACAATGTATCCTCACTGCATCATCCTTTATTTAGTCTGTACGGAGTTTGCCCGTTAGAACGCAAGGCGCACTACCAGTAGGGCGCCCCTACCCTATGTGGACTATACAGAGGGGCGGGATGGAGGAGAAATCCGCCATCTTTGCGCAGTTAAACTTGCACTTACGAGAGATACATGAAAAGAAACGCCCTAAAAACCAGCTGCTAGCCACGCGTGGCACTGCTGGCCACGCCCCGCACTGCTGGCCGAGGTTCGGCTCCGACGCTCTAAAAAAATGCATGCCCCGCATTGTCCTTGTTCGGTGAAATCCAGCCGGCCTTCCTCTCTACATACACTTACTCAGGTGAGGAAGTGGGTGAGATACGATTAAAAGCGTCGTTTGGGCACAGCGGCAAGAGTGAGCATCTTGCAGTGGTGCCACGTCAAGCTCATGCAAATTTAAAAGGAACGCGCTGCCGCCGCGGCGTTCTTGAGTTCTGGAAATATTATTTCGTTTACAACAATCGAAGCTCCTTTTGTTCCTCGTTCACTTCTGAAGAAATAATAAAAGAGTGTAAATCTGGCCATTTTTACGGCGGGGATATCATCATTCCAACAACACGCCGCTGCTCATAAAGCCAATGTTTCCTCCCGGTCTGCAACAACACTACATATGGTGCGGCAATAAGCGCATCACGTTCCTCAACATGACGTGTTTGGACTGCCCAAAGCGACCGCGGCATGAGCTGGATCCGCTCATTACAGGCGAAGGCGATGCACGTGTCGCACCGCTGCTGCGTTGGTCCCCCAATGTGTAACATTGATCCTCCTCTGCGGAGTAAGTTTTCGGCCGATGCCGCACTCTGCACCTACGTTTAGATGTGCTGAACTGGCAGGCAGGGTCATGACCCAGCCAGCAATTTGCTTGGGCTGAGGTTGAGGAGAGTGGGTACAGCCTGGTTGTAACCCAAGACAGCTTAAACTCAGCCCACGATCATTGAAAAACTGTGTGGGTGCAGCTCTTATCTTGTTGGGCAAAGCCATAGCATGGGCGCAGCCCAGTCGTACTCAGATATGCCTGATAGGGCGCAGCCTGCGCTGTGGTCGGCAGATTGACAACTTGGGCTTAGCTCATTCATCTGCACATATCCGCGGTGGAGAGGATGGGGCGCAGCCCTATCATGGTGGGCATTGACACAACTTGGCTGAGCCCAGCTAAACGCAGCTTCGCTTGCTTGAGCTTAAGCGAGTGTACACGTCACCTGATACATACTGTCTCGGTGGTGCAGTTGGTAAGTCCGCGCGCCTGTGCAGACTGGGGCTTGTAAAGCTACAAACGTGCTTACAACACATCTGCGTAAATATATGTACGTTGATTTTCGTGAGCGCACATGCCGCAGTCATTCTTATCACCAATATTCATAAATTCAAATATCCATAACCACAACGGTTATTTTTAACAACAATACGGCACGTGCATTAGCGGCTAACGCACGTGCCGTAATTCCTCGTATCACAGATGCTCGTAACCACACATATCCGTGGTCGCTTATGTAAAACAGTATGAAATTATAGACATAATAAAACGGAACCACTCGTAACCGTGCGTAATTTTATGTACCAGACGGTACCAGAAAGGACCGCCATGAACCGGACGGATCATACGGGACCAGACATGATCGGATGGGGCCAGAAGACACCGGACGAAAATGGACTGAACCGTACGCCATCATACGGGACGAGCCCAGCCGAGCCCAGCCCGCCCAGCCCAGCCTAACCTTGTTACGTACGCGCCAACTCGGTCCAAACCAAGCCAGCCTGGCCCCATCCAGTGCCGTCCCGCTCCATCCGGTCCCGTCTGGTCACGTCTGGTGCTGCCCCGTCACGTCCAACTCCGTTCAGGTTTGTAGGCCAGACTTGAAAAGCTTACGTTCGACGGCATAAGCTCGATGGCTCATGCCAGTCTTGTTCTCAGGCGCTTCACTTAGTATGCGGCGCTGCGTGACCTCAGATCCACTATTATGCTTAGTGGTGCAGCCGTCATTTTTCTCAACAACACCCTAGTAATGAAATCATGAATTAAATACCTGGGTGCTCAACCGCATAGCTCTGAAATATTCATTGAACGTCGCTGACTCGGTTCCAAAGCTTCACGGAATTTTGCTCACGATAGTAATCGCATGCACGCCTCGCATGACGCGACACGGGACACGAAGAATAAGGTACTCGAACCTTTCTGAGGCTGCATCCAAAAACATTGCTAGTTTATTCAGAATATCAGGTTTAGAATGCCCAACTGTGTGCCTATCCATGTTTTGGAGGAATTGGTATATTTTCAACGTTTTTGTACGCACCAAAAAGTTGGAGTAATAATCATGATTTGGAAGCAAAAATATGGCATCAAAAGTACTTGCATATGTCGCACAGCTCGGCGACCTTGACGCAAACGACACTCGATGAACAAAAGAAAGCGTCACGTTATCCGCACGTTCATGTTCGTAGTTTGGCTGATAGAATAGTGTTGATAGGGATGATAGTCTGATTTTGTCATGTCGATAATTTGTTCATAGTGAGAGGGATCGCCGCTGCCGTTTCCGCTGTCCTAATTCAGGTAAATGTGCTTTTGTGCTCACTTGTGTGGGCGCTGTTACAAAATAATCAACTGAAAAGAAGTGTGAAATTAACTGTAGGTCGTTGGTGGACATTGAAACTGAAGCAGTGTTATGAAAATGTGTGAATGGTTTTTGACAGCTCTCTTCACAGTAGACACAGTAGACAGGTTGAGTCATATAGAGCTCAGGAATGCAGAATTATTGGGGTGGTGTGCTGCATGTGTATAATTTGGTTGTTATAAAAATGAGGGGAAAATCTTAAATTTAGATCCCCTTAAGCCTGTCCATATTTGAGCTGATTCAACCATTCATTAGAAAATGATTTTTCAACCCAGGAAACCTCAATCATGTGATGGTTTATTACTTGTGCATGCTAGGCAGAAGGGTATAGAACTGCCTCCCATTCGGCCTGTGCTGAGGCTTCATCTCCCAAGGCAACCAGACTTGCATTTAGTCGTGGTATTTCTGAATTGAAAGCCTGTTGTTCAGAATTTAAGTTGAGGCAACCAATTAACTGGTGGATGGACTCAAAGTAAAATTTATTTTACAATATATGTAAATGCTACTACAGCTGATGTGCAGATCAAGTGCAAGCTGTGGTTGCTGGCTTGCTTTCAAAATAATCATCTTATATTGGCTTTTATGAAGCTAATAGAACAGTTTGTGCTATATTCAAGATCTTTTTAGCACTTGTTTAAGAAAGCAGACCCAATGTGCAAGGGCAGGTTCTTACCACAGGTAGAAAGGTGTGGAACACCACCCACAAAGTTCCTGGTTGGAGTATAGTCTTTCAATATGGTATTGTGTTTGGTAGGTTGATTATCAGTGATATATGATATTTATTTCTGCAAATATTACACATACTTTTGGCCACTAGGTAGGGTCCTATACCAGTAAACTGTTATTATGATTTCTCTATGATTAGTGAGAGCAATCTGAAGCATTGCCTGTAAAGCAGTCCAGTCATGCATATCCATTACCTGTAGAGCAACCCAGTCAATGCATATCCTATAATTCCTTTCAGTGCATTTTTTGTGGCCTATTTGAAATTTGGATCACTTTGTATACCCATAGAATCAATAGTCTCACCTTAGCAGGCTTCTGAACATTGTTGGTGAGGAAGCCTGATGCATATATTTTTATGACTTATATCATGCTATATACATAATTATCATACAGGAATTAACATACTGGCACTTACCCTTCTTATCTCAGGCTTCTCACCTTTATAGCAGTTGCAATTTTTTGTCGATCAGCTATATTAAATAATTTTCTCAGTCCATTTTTGCAAGGCAGTGGAATCTGGTCTATAGTTTTTGGTAATCAAGTTGGATTAAGCACCAGTGGTAGCATATACTCTTGCTGATGCCATAAGCTTTGCATCATATTATTTAATCACCTATGTCACAAACTGTGTATGAAACCACATGGATCAATTTTGGCTCAAGATGTCCTTTGATGTGCAGAACTCTATTCCCTCTAACCCCAGTGCACCTGAGACAAAATATACATCAAATTTGAAATTCCTTATTCCAAGCATTAACACAAGCATCTGCATAGTAGGATTTACTATGGATGCCAATTATGTCCAAGATGGTCAGATGGCCAACTTTAGTTATGCATACTCTGCTGGACTGAGTAACCAATTGTCAGTATTTCCATAGCTCATTTTGGGCAGAATGTAGCACTGTTAAAAAATCTGGTGAACTAAACATGCATCAGTCAGATTCAAAGATTAAGGGGCCTGTTAACATGACCTTAAGTTTACGTGATCTGTACTCACCTTCGTGATGCACTAGTTACACCAAACTCTTATAGGTGTCGCCACTTACGCGCCCGTATTCCTTCTACCCACAGGTCTCATACATTTGTTGACGGTACGGGTAATGCGTAGGTGTGCATAAACAGTTTGACAATTTTACTGTCGTGGGTGTCCTCAAGCGCCCAGTTGGAACTTGGGTCTCTTAGGTTTCACACAAGCTGTCGAATCTCTTTTGTACTTTACACCTGGCCGGATTATACGGTTTTATGTTGTGAACTGAAACGGGGGTGAGGGTGGCATGCTCCCCCTCTTTTATTTAGGAACCAGATATGTCAACATGACTTATAGCGTGTTTTTGAGCATAGAAAGTCAGTAGAATAGTAATAAGAGTTGCGTTATGCTAATGGCGTATGATTGAAAACACGCATAAATGATGTGTCCAATACGTGTTTGATTCAGTGAATAATATCATAGCTTCTGGTTTTAACCAAATGCTTTGAACAGAGTGTTTTTTTGGGGTGGGGTCGGGCCAGAGACCCTCTGAGATGGGCAAATGAGGAAAATCTCAGTAGTTTTCTGTGGAGAAGTTGTTTATAAATTTGTTTGAAGGGGCGGTTTAGCTGCTTCAGGTAAAAGGAAGCAAAATCCCTTAAGGTTTTCAAAGTCAGGACGCCTCTTTGGATCTTGCCCCCCTCCCAAAGCGGAGTTGCCCCCAAGGGGGCGGTGTGGTCCCGCGTGGTGTAGGGGTCCTGTAAGGTTAATAGCGTCACTTGGGCCGCGCGTGATCGGCGGATTCATTGCCGTCGAGCGCCGCTCAGCTGCGGCGCAGCGCTTGATCCTGGTCAGGCCGGTCAGGATTACGCTTATATTACCCATTCGGATAAAAAATCGAACCTTTGCTTTAATGGATTTCTGAGATCGTTGCCCACGCTGAGCAGTGAACAATGCTGGTCGCGTAACTCCTGACCCCACTATTCCACCGAGAAATGGTATGCTTGCCACGGTGAAGTGTCCCCTCGAAATGGAAATGCTGGCTTGCTTTCATACGCACGAGGGGTCAATGTGCGTAAATAACACGGTTGTGTTGGAATTCATGTTTCACCTTGTTAGACTGTCAGTGTGCACGCGAGCGGAAAAGCAGCCCAGCAATTTGCGCATGCTCTCCTTTTTATGAATTGTTTTTAAAGCATTTAATTCATAATGCGGCGCTCTGTCACTCTTCCGGACTTGTTTTTATGCTAAATGATGTCTCTGGGCAGTCTTCACCAAATTATATTTCTGGGCAGTCTTTACTAAGTTGTATTACTGGGCAGTCTGCTAGATGAGATTTCTGAGCAGGTCCGTTTAACATTGCAATTAAAACTGCGGCACTGGCTAGTTTCGTAAATAAACATTTCCCAGATATGTTGCTTGTGCCGCGGTGCGAAATATCCTGTATCTATTCCAAGGAATGCCGCCTGGTACTTCTGACCTAGATCTTCATTAGAGATGCTTTTTGAACCGATTTATTTATCTGCCGTGGTCGACTGGTCACGGTGGAATGCCGACAAGCCGTCCGTCTGTTCGCGGCGCCACGGGCACTGATGTACTGGTAGAGGACAAATGTGCGAAGTGACAAACATCTGTTATCACTCCCCTGGGCGGCACCGTTGCCTGTTACGGTCCGGCAGCGTCCCTCACACCTTTTTTCGCGCGTGCACTGGACAGCTTGCAACCGGATGGGGAATGGACATTATATCTAACTCTGTTCAACATTGGCGCGAGCACACGCTCTCCGTCGATCTCGCCGCTGCTCGAACCGTGCACACGTCACGGCCAGCTGCTGGACCCGGCTCGGACCTCATCCCGCCCGCGCCAGGTCCGCGCTGCTCCCGGTACCCGATGTCCTGCTCCCGGTACCCGATGTGATGCGGGCTCTTCTGATGCGCCGGCGCTCTGTCCCGGGCGGCAGTGCACGTCCGTCTGGCGTGCTGTCCCCAGCGGAGCCCCAGTGCCTGGCAGGGACCCGCTCCGCAGGCGGCTGGTGCTCCGGCTGCCCCTCCGGTGCCCCTCTGGCACTCCGGGGCTGCTACTCCGGCTGCTGCTCCGGCTAATCTCGGGTACCCCTCTCGTACTCCGGCTTCTCCTCCGGTGCTACTCCGATGCTCCGGTGCTCCGGTGCTCTAGCCGGAGCCGTCAGCCGACCCGGCACGGCCCGCCGTACCGCTCCTGCTCGGGGCTTCGGCGGGCTGAGCCTCCGAGCGAACGCTGCACGGCCCCCTTTCGCGGAGCAGCCGGCTCGATGGCTAATTGCAGCTGCAGCTGCTGCACGCGCTCACTGACGGGAACAGCTGACCGCACGGGCCCCGTCGGTGACTCCCCCTCCATCGGGGATTCCGCCGCCGCTGAGGACTCCTTTGCTGCCGACGACACCCCCTCCGACGTGAATCCATTTTTTACCGCCGGTAACGCCTGCAAACCCGACTCCTGAGCAGTATCGGTCGTCGTTGTCCCGGCTTCGGGGTCGTCGGGAGCCTCGCCCCGTATTTGGACAGCCTTCTGGATCACGTCTAGCTGTTCCCGGCGTTGGCGCTCGTAGACGACTTCGGACTCTCTTGAGAGCTCCTCCAGGATAGCGTCGATCTGCTGTGTCGGGCTGACGTAGTTACCCCTGTCGGCGCCATCTGTCTTCATCCCGTAAAGAGCGAGGCCGTCTCCCGCCGGGGCGACGTGACCATTCGTCACCTCCCTAATCGGAACGGTACCGTTCCCCAGCGGACCGTGCCTTCCCCCGGAGTCGCCATTGGGTCTGCCGGGCGTCTCCGCCGCCTGCCCCGCCCCTCCGCCGCGCCCGAAGGCCGCCTCGGAGGCCGGGCTGGCGCAGCGGTCGGGCGTAGGCAGCCTGGGACGGCCCACCGCGCTCGGCCGCCGGCCGCCCCTCGCCACCTGCTCCCGACTCGGCGTCCGCCGGCCGGGCGGCCCGGCCGCCGGGTCATGCGTGGGCGGCTCGGGCAGCTGCAGCTGGTCGCCGAGCAGCAGCTCGACGGCGCGGCGCCGCGCGGCCGACAGCTGCCGAGCGTGTGGCCGCAGCGGCGGCACCAGCTCCGAACGGTGAGACGGCACAGGCGGCGGTGGATTGGCTAGTCCCGGCGGAGGTGGGACCCCCCCTGGCGGCGGAGGAGGCGGGCGGCGGTGGTGAGACGGTACAGGCGGTGGTGGCGCGGCCAGTTCTTGCGGTAGTGGGGCCTGCTCTGGCCCCGTCTCTGGCCGGCGGTGAGACGGTACAGCTGGCGGCGCGATGGCTAGCTCCATTGATGGCACGTCTGGGTCCGGTGGGGGCGGCGGCGCCGGCGGCGCCGGGCGATGCTGCGACGGCGTAAGCGGCGGTGAGACGGCCAGTTCTGGCGGCGGTGGCACCGCCTGCTCTGCCGGTGGCGGAGGTCGGGTGTAGTGAGACGGCACAGGCGGCGATGTCGAAACTGCCGGCTGGTGAGACGACAGAGGTGGACGCTGATGAGCCCGCACAGCCAGCGGCGGGGTGGCCTGCTCGGACGGCGGCAGCATGGTCTGCTCGGACGGCGACGAGTCCTGCTCCGGCGGCGGGCCGGCGTACTCCGTTGCCAGTGGGGCGGGCGCCGCCATCGGTCGCGCGGCCGCTGATGCGCTCCGCTGCGCGGTCGCCGGCCTGGGCGGCGGCGAGGAGGCCGGACTGGGCTTCCCGTTGCAGACGGGTCGGGGTGGAGGCGGCGGCGGCGGCGGCGGAGCCGGGATTTCCGGCGGCGGTGGCAGCGGCAGGCGCGACCGGGCGCTGCCGAGCGCGCGCGGGGTATCGTACACGACCTCGACCCCGGCTGCGCCCCACAGGCGTGGCACGTCGTATTGCACTTCCTCTGGGACCGCTGGCGCCGCCTGGCGGTCACTCATGGACGGCAGTGCGGGCAGAGGAGGCGCCTCAGGGTTGCGATGGCTCGACGTTGACACGGAAGACACCCCGTCGTGTGGCTTAGTCACTGGCTTGACGTCTCTGTTCCACTGTTTCTCTGACACCGAAGTTACGGTAGTGTCTGGCTGTACCTGACGTACGGATGCATTGCTCTGCTGCTGCGCATTGGTGACGTGTGACACATTTATCGCGTCTTTGCCCTCGCACGTCACTACCGTCTCAGGGGCGACCTGGTCACAGCCGCCCTTCACGCGCGCACCATTCGGAGCACCGTCAGCTGCCTCTTCGTCCGCCCTCGTGCCGCTCTGACTCCGGAGGCTGTCATAGAGCGTCTCGATCTCTGAGAACATGTCCTCGAGCGACATCTGCGCATTGAGCGTGGGTCGGCGCGGTAGCGGTGGCGGCGACTCGGACTCTTCCTCGAGGATGGTGGCCGGCAGCGGCGGCGCCTCCTCGTCCAGTGGCGCCGCCTCCAGCGCCTCCTGCAGGCTGTGCATTGAGCTGAGGATGCGGTCGATGCTGGCGATGGTGGAGCAACGCGCCTGGTCCTCACTGTAGGCCGAGGCCGGTGAGTCGGGCCGCTCGGCGTCCTGCCGCAGGTCCGCCTCGCTCTGCGTGCCGCGCATCCGCCGCAGGCTGGACACGCGCGGCGGCGGCGCCGGCTTGAGCAGGCGCCGCCGCGGCCGCCGCCCGACCGCTGGCGGCACCGCCGGCTCGGCGGCCGCCTCCACCAGGCGTGCCTCGAACGAGCGCAGGCCGGCCATCACGTTGACGCGGCTGGGCGGCAGCGGCGCACTGGTCACCAGCCACGTCCGACCCTGGAACGGGCCGTGCACGGCGTGCGGCCGCATGGCGGCGCCGGCGGCGTGTGCCGCCCGCCGCGCCGCCGCCGCCGGCCCTGTTTACAGAAGCGGCTGACCGGAGCGGAGCGGAGCGCCGCGGCCGTGACACGGCGCCTGTCCGTCCCGCGCCCGTCCCTCCCGCGCACTTCACCGAGAACGACTGCTGCGCCGGACGGAGGCCGACCGCGGCGCCGGCGACAGACGCAGTGTGGGCACGACGGCCGATGCGACACATGCCGTCCGCCGTCCTCGCTCGCCCCGCTTCGGCGTGACGTCACTGGCCAGCTACGCCCCTGTTCGACACGGCATCCCGGCCCGGTTTGTTTATTGTTATCTTGTGGCCGCCGCTGCAGCGATGGATGTTGCTTTCTGCGGAGGCCGTAGCGACCTGTGACTCCCCCCCCCCCCCTCCCCTTCCCTGTGCGGAGACAGTTGTCCACGTGCCCGCCAGCCTGGTCGCCGGGGTCACTCATGGACTGCCTCCCGAGAGGCCTCGGCAGCGATTGCGCGCATATCTTGTCATCATTTATCCGGCGCTGTTTGGGCTTGACTGGCGGGGCAAGGCCTGGCCCGCTCCGTGAGGTCACCGCGCGTTGGCCGCAGCGGTGGCCGGTCTGTCGTGACGGGCTTGGTACCCAGCTGGTGGGGAGCTGGAGGCGTCGCTGGCGTGCTGGCGTAAGATGAGACCGGAGGAGGTTCAGAGCTGCGGAGACCGCGGCTCCACAGTGGATGCGGGTCTTCCCGCTCAGTAATCGTAATCGCGGAACGAGCTGCAGTATTTTTTCGTATGGTGTCAGTATGGACGCATCCACGCGTTTGGGTTATCAAACATTTTTCAATGGAAGGGTTTAAAACAGCTTCGCCGGCCCTGTGCTTCGTATCAGCTTTTGTGTGAATCCGGTTTTTCGTTCTTAATGCTGGAGCAGATTTTCGAAGTTAGCGATTCTGACTTCGTTTTTCACCTCAATGTTAGGTGTTGTTCGACGCTGTGCATACCCCGGCGCAAAGTGCGAATGTTTGCATCAGCCAGTCATCACAAATACTTCTCGCGCCTTGCTGATGTCACGGTTACCGGCCTCTTTTTGCCGCCCACCCACCAACCCACACAGACCCTCATGTCGCACACGCCGGCTGAGGGCCTGAGCTGGATGTATACTGACATCGGTGTCGGCCCCCAGGGCCAGACCATGCCGTCCACGCCGCCGGACGAGGTATACTCGGTGCGGTTCAGCCAGGACGGCAGCGCGTTCGCCTGCGCCCTCTCCTCGGGCGTGCGCCTGTACAACCTGGAGCCACTCTCCGAGCTGGCCTCCCACGGGCCCAAGTTCTTCGGCAGCATCGCCATCTGCGAGATGTTGGACAGGTGGGCGGGCGGGGGTGGCCGAGGATGTCACTGCCGCGGACTCGAGGGAACGGTGATCTGGCGGAGCCACGTGATGGCCGCGCCGCCCCACAAGGTGATGTCATTGTTTGGATTAGCATTCCGGAGAAAAAAGGCGGCGCTGTATGTGGTGTCAGTTTAGTTCCGGCCAGCGATTTCTACCCCCGCATCGCGCGTTGATGAGTTTGAGATGAGTGCCTCCGTCCTGCGTTGCTTCAGGGGGCTGCAGTTAGGTGTACCGCATAAATCACCTGGTGTGCACGTGATAAAGATACCGATGCCTGGTATGCGCCTTTTCGTGTCTACTAGTGATATCAGTGTGTTCATTCCACGATTGTCGGGACGTCTTTTTGGAAGCCCCCCAACCTTCCTATGTGTATTGTGACGTAAAATCTTCAATCAAATGCGTGCTCCAAATCCTTTTCCTCTTGCTGCATTCAGTTGTTATCCGTGTTACCGTTCCATTGTCAGCAGCATTTTAAATGAGTCGAATGGCCGGAACTCTGCCGATTGCCCTGATCTATTTGATAACTTCGTCTACGCTTTGTTGTCTGGTGGGTATTTGTGGTCTTCCATAACTTCCAGCGTGGTATTTCTTTGTTCAAACGCGTTCGGTGTGGAAACGTCCCAGAGCCCGATCAAATGTGGGCGGCCGCAAATGGTGATCTGGCGTGGAAGGTTCACGGCCATTCTTCCTTGTTGAAGTTTGATCTGGAGACTAAAGCCTTCCACAAGTAGCTTTTAGAGAACAGAGGTGATGGTTACGGTGCGGGGTCCCAGCTGTTGTACAATTCAGCGAACTTCCACGAAGTGTGGTAGTTGGAGGCGAATCTGACGCGCGCTCAAACAGGCCTCTAGGGCTGTAGGCGCACTCATTGTGGCTTGCGTGTGTTTTCCCGATGAGTTTCTGCTTGGTATGTTGGCGTCTGTCGCCGTCGTTGAACCGTGTCTCACCCGGCCGCCGCTATGACCTGAGCGATGCTGCACATGAGCCGTCGCCGTCGTTGAACTGTGTCTCACCCGGCCCCGGCTGTGACCTGAGAGATGCTGGCCATAGGCCGCCAACTGACTCGCGATTGACTGGCCGCAGCTGCCCCCGTGACCCTATTGTTCCTCGCCGCTGTGAGGGGCGGGTCGCGTAGCACCCTTCACTCGCCGGGGGCGCAGAGCCTGGTGGCAGCAAAGTAAGCTCCCGCCCTCCCTGCATGCTTCACCTGCTGGCAGAGGTGGTTTACTCTCACGCTGATCCCAGGTCCCGCGTGCCGTACTCGATGCTGCTGCTGTAGTATTTCAGCAAGCACTGACTCCTGTGCCGTGGACCAACGGAGCACAGCTGCTGGCGCTGTCGGCGGGGGCGGACGTCATTCCCACACCGTCGCCTTCTCCTATATGTCGTACCTGATGCAGTGCAATACTGTGCCGTGTTGTGCTGTGCTGTGCTGTGCTGCGTGTACTGTGGCAGCTAATGTCGCGCAGACACCTTGTTTTGTATGTTTGCCGGGATGGCGCTGGCAATATGGCAGCTACGGCGTCTCCGTTTTCCAAAAATGTTACCAGACTTCGCCGATATACCCTCCAATCCACCCCATTCATGTTTGTCTCTGTCGTGAGCTATCGTAAGTAACGTGGATTGGTGACATCACTGACAGGCTCTGTAACCCCACCCCGTTGCCGTTCGTCGCAAGGATAACTTGACGTCAGTGATGCCACTATCATAAGGCAGCAGTTGGAGTGTGGTTAAACTACCAGTCTGGGAAACCAAAGGCACGGGCTCAGTTTCCCGCGATGTCTGTCCTTCCTGCCAGAATGAGAAGCAGACACTGCCACATAGCCTCAGCATTTGAGTGTCTCGTAAATCCCCAATAACACGCGCGTGGCTGTTACCCGCGCTGCCCCCGCCTCCGACAGTCCGAACGATCACTCTGACCCCGCGCCGTCCCCGCACCCCACACGTTCCCACTCTACAGTAGCACCATCTTTGACCCGCGCCGGCTCCACCTACGACAGGTCCAACCTGATGGCGGTGGTGGGCGGCGGCGCCACGCCCCGGTTCGCCGACAACACGGTGCTGGTATACGACTCGGCCCTGCAGGCGTTCGTACTGGAGCTCACGTTCACGGGCCCCGTGCTGGCTGTCCGCCTGCGCAGGGACAGGCTCATCGTCGCCATGCGGTGAGCAGAAGGGGGGATGGGGGTGGGGGGGGGGGGGGGGTCGGAGCCGTGCGGATATGGGACGTGAGGTGAGATGAGGGCTCTCAGACGTTGCAGCACGGGAATCGGGATCGTCCACTGAGGCGCCCCTCCACGTCATTGGCAGGATTTATGCTCACCGAATCGGATGGCTCACATATTGGTTCGAGTTACATGACATGTGCACTATGTGCATTTAGCGCAATTTTCATCACACGCTCACGCGTGATTCGTACGGAAAATGTTTGAATTCTTTTTTGAAACGCGCCGTGTTCGTGGTGTCGTGCATTGCCAGCCTGGCTGTCAAGACAAACTGGAAGCCCCATGTAGGCACGTCTGTGCTTTCCAGTCACGCATTTTACCCTTGGAAATCGCAATTGCCCGGCCTGCCTTCTTTGTGGCGTTTGATGGCTACGTAGTACGCGTGAGAAAGGGTCTGTCTGCTTGTGAATGTTGAAATGAACCGGGCGTTGAGTTTGGTGGTGTTCCGCTGAGGGCTGGGTTCCGAAACTACAATATTTTGATTTTATCGAAATCCATCAATTTAGGCTTGGTTTTTGATAATTTGTTCGTTGCATCCCGTCTTGTTAACAGTCAATCCTATCCTCCATACGGAAGTGTGGGAACAACAGCAGAACCGCACACCGCAAAGTTCCGCTCATGGAGCGCTGATTGCTCATAAACGCTCATCCCTGTATTTGCGCCATCTACATGTATTGAGCGCCTGCATTGATTTCCTGATACAGGATGGCTGTAGATGGCGTGCGGCAAACATGTTTGTGTTGTTGCGTACCTTTGCCTGTTTCCAGTCATGTGCGATCCTTTTTTCTCCCAAAGTTCTCCTAACAATATTTCCAGTGTCTTTATTTCAAGCCCGTCAGCATCACACGTCCCTGTGACCTGTAAAACAGCCACCCTGCCTGCGTCCGTGGCCGGGCTGACCCCCCGTGGCGTCCGTGCCGGCAGGCGACAGGTGCACGTGTTCACCTTCCCGCTGCCGTGCGAGCGCCTGTTCACGGTCGAGTCTGGCGACAACCCGCTGGGCCTGTGCGAGGTCAGCCCGCTGGCCACCAGTGAGGCGCACGTGCTGTGCTTCCCAGCGCGCAAGCGGGGCGCCCTGCAACTGATTGACCTGACCGCCACGGAGGCCCAGGTGTCGTGTGCGCCGGTCACGCTCAACGCCCACCAGGGGCCGCTGGCCGCGCTCGCCGTCAACCAGCAGGGCACGCTGGTCAGTGAAGGGAGACGGGGCGGGGTGGGCGGCAAGAGGCGGGAGGGGCATAGGGGAACACTGATGGCGGGGGTGGGGAGACTGGACCACGCTGTTGGCAGGTGGGCAGGGTATTGGAGACGCTATTGTGCAGTGAAGGAGAGGGTTGGAGAGGCTTGGCGATGATGAAGGAGAGCCTTGGGGAGCTATGGTTGGTGGGGGAGACAGACAAGTGGGGAGTGACGGTCTCTAGCGGTGGCAGGCGGAGTTAGGAGTGATAGTCTGTAGTGGTGGCAGGCGGAGTTGGGAGTGATAGTCTGTAGTGGTGGCAGGCGGGGCCGGGCGGTGTTATCGCTGCCTTCGCCGGTTAAAGTAGCGGGACAGTTGTCTAGCTGGGGGATCACCAGCAGGAGCCGTTATGTCGGTCAGTGATGGAGACCAGGAAGGGAGAGGGGCCATTAGTACATTCAGTCGAGCAGCAAGTGTCGGCTAGGATGAGGGTGGGGTTAAACGTGGGCATAATTTTACGACGCGAGCTACTTCTATGGTCCATTTTTGATGCATAAGCTCTAGCGCCGGACGTAGCGCTGGCTGTTAAAACACGGCCGCTGATAAGTGGAACCCAGGGTCTCGGGATAACGAACATTGAGACATGCGATCACCACAGCAACAGTCTCTCAAGTAGATCAACAGTCTCACAACAGCCTCTCTGATGCAGATGCAACAGTTTCAAGATGCTATCAAGATGAGTCCTTCAAAGGCCGTACAAAGCAATAGCCTTGAGATTGTTCTACTTGTTTTGCAGCCAACCATGCGATCGTTTTGTGGCCTGTCGTGCCAACGGGTAATAGGTTTAGCGTGCGCTTGGAGAATCAAAATCAGTCATTATCTTGTCCAGTACGGCTGAACCCCTTATGGGTTCCGTAACTATTTGCAATAGACCCAGTTGACACGCTAACAATTCTGCATCAAAGTTCTGTTAAAGTCTCCTACCAAGACAGTTTTTGCTCTTGGCCTTGAGCATCGAAGACGATCAAATGTTTCCAAAAGGTGGTCAGATAGAGTTTTTGCTCTTGGCCTTGAGGATCGAAGACGATCAAGTGTTTCCAGAAGGTGGTCAGATAGCATTTTCCGGCGACAGACTGATGCATCAGGAGGGAGGTAAACTCCAGCTATTATGATGCTGTTGGGTTGCAAAGGTTGAATGATGCTCCAGCAAACTTCCAGCTCGTCCGGGATTTCAATTTTGGGCTCTGTGTATGGCATGTTATTTTTCATGTATATGGTGACTCCTCCATCCTTACTTTTGTTGACCGCCAATAAGTTGTTTTTATGTTGGATCGAACTCGGTCATGTTGATCGTCTTTGCCTGCCACCTTGATGCCACAAATCATTCACGCGTTTGGCAATGAGAAGTGGAATGCCATGCGGATGAAGCGTTTGTTTATTTACGTTTCAGGCCCGGTTGGTGGATGGATGATCGAGGATGATCAGCCGTCCGTCGCAAATTATCCCGAATGCCATGCGGTTCCGAAACGTGGGACATTCTCTGGCATGTTACTCACGATTAGTGATAAGAGTGGACAATTGTCAGTCCGTGGTTGAGGCAGTTAAGGTGTGTAAGGCAACCGATAGGAACAAGCCAGTCGTGAAGGCTGCCATTTGATTCTCAAAGAACACTGGTCCATTTGTTACGTAGTCCATTTGTTACCGCTCGTTGAGAACACTTTTGGTTTACGGCTTGTGCAGGTAACTGAACAGGATGAGTTGCACCCAGCAAATGCTGCAAACGTGGTAGATGATTATTTTCCCACCCATGAACGTCAGTGGTACATCCTAGCGACTGGAAGTTATTAATTACAAATGTACCGTCGGTCAGACGTGCCTGTTACCGTGCTTTCTTGCTTGGCTGCTCTGGTGTAAAACATGCTGTCACACTGAAGATTACGAGATGAAGTTTACGTTACGCACCTTCGCTTATGATCCATGCGGGGATACCTTACCTTTAGTACGCCCTCACATGAAACAGTGTAAGACATTTATGTTTTTCATAAAGGTGTCTTGCATCACTTCATGGATTGAAGCTTATGTGGAGTGCACAAAATGATCTGAATGCATCTTCCATAAATGATACCGTAGTCCTTGCTAGAAAAGTACGTATAATCGCTGCGGAATGAGTGTCCTACCAGCTGGTGCCCTACGATCGGAAAATCGTTCCATTTACTCTGAAACCAAATTTGACAGAGCCGCTACTCCTCGAAACCAGTTGACGATGGAGAAGACCACCGGCCTTTGCTTCAATCGATGGTCCCATCCTTCCGTAAGGCTACACTGGATGTCAGTACCCCACCCGGCGTTCCGGCTGCACCTGACCCTGCCTCAGTAGCCGGTCCTGGCTGGGTCGACCCCCGCCGCGTCGGCAGTCGGTCAGTCGGCTGCCCGGCCTGACACCTGACCCTGCCTCATTAGCCGGTCCTGGCCGGGTCGACCCCCGCCGCGTCGTCAGTCGGTCAGTCGGCCGCCCGGCCGCCCGGCCTGACACCTCCGGCCGGGCCCAAGGTCGCTGGCCGCCGGGGCCATCGACCCCCGGAGCCGTGTCCGCCTGCGGCAGAGCTGTCGTCGGTAGGAACCTGGACGACCTGCCGTGGCAAGGCGGGACGCGCGAGACGTCCCGGCGGCCTGGATGTGGCCCCCAGCTCTGCGGCACCGCACCGGGCTTGCCCGTCGCCGACCACGCTGTACTGCTAGGAAATTTTATATCAAATTTGGCTCGAGTAACAGCATCGCAAAGCTCGTGTGATTTCTTTTAAACTGCGGGGAATATTATGTTTGTTGAATGTGGCTGTGCAAACGGCGCTGTTGAACGTAATTTAGATGCGAGTATCACGATCACAATCATTTTCTTAAACATTTCTGGCATCTTTGGAAACATGGTTTAAATTGGTCGGAAAGCTTCAGACAAAGGGACCTGTCACAAACCACCGTTTAGGACCACGTACTGAGCACCGGCGTATCTGTGTGATGTGCGACTCGGCATATACAATTGGGTTCTTATGCCCAGCACACACGTACATTTTACGTGTGGGCTTGGCATGCCTCTTACCGCAATGGAGTCAGATGAACTCTGGAATTCATTTGCATGCGTGCAGATTCACGACCTTCCCTTGATTATACCCAGGGTTTCAATGGTCAGTGATGGGGCCCGAGCCCTAACTGATGATCATCGCGAGGCTGTGTATGCGGAGAGCACGGCTCTCTTCACATCATGTTTGCGTAATTTTCTACGGTCACGACATCTATTGTAGGGTTCGCCTCGTTGGCCTTGAGGTAGGTGGCAGCATACCCAGCACCAGTCGGGAAGGGCACGGCCGTATTTGGTTGCACACTTTCGGGAATAACTAGCTACCTGCGACGACCGTTTCTGTCCGGTGTCGAGACTTACCCTGACCTCCGTCGGGCTCGTGATGTGTTTTTGAGCCGTCCGGACCGCATGTTTTGGGCATCATGATTATTTTGCTCTTTGGTATCATCTGGTGTCGTGGTCTTTCCCAAGTATCTTCGCCAAGACGGGCATAACTTGCCGTCAGCGTGGATAAGTTTTGCGCGCCTCTTATATGGCGCGTCAGAAAATTGCCGGAATCGGGAACGCAACCGACAAAATCGGTGCCAGGTCGGTGTTCGTTATCGGGGTCAGGTAACAGTGATAATTGGCCCCAAAATCACAACCTAAAACTGGTATGTTTGAAGCACTTGAAGCGCGAGTTTCGACCTGTCGCGTGTCGGTCATTGGCAGCGAATCACCTCCGACACGGCCGGGGCTCTCCGCCGCCGCTGCCGCCGCCGCCGCTGCCCTGACCTTGCGCCCTCTCTCCGACAGGCGGCGACAGCCTCGCGCAAGGGCACCCTGGTGCGCGTCTGGGACATCGGACAGCGGTGCCTGCTAGCCGAACTGCGCCGCGGCTCGGACACCGCCGTCCTCTACTGCATCGGCTTCAGCGCCGACAGCACCTACCTCTGCTGCGGCAGCGACAAGGGCACCATCCACGTGTTCGCGTTGAAGGAGCCGGCGCTGAACCGGCGCTCGACGCTGAGTAGGCTGGGCCTGCGCGGCCAGTACCTCGAGTCGCAGTGGGCGCTCGCCACGTGCACCGTGCCCGCCGAGAGGCCGTGCGCATGTGCGTTCGGCGCGGCTGGCACCGTGTACGCCGTGTGCACGGACGGCACGTTCCACAAGTACGTGTTCACGGCCGACGGCATCTGCAACCGCGAGGCGTACGACGTGTACCTGGACGCGTGTGGCAAGAATGATTTCTGAGCAGCGGACGGACGTGTGTGCGGCGGTGGCGGCGGCGGAGGAAGGGGTCCGCTGATGCGTCCTCCGGTTGCGCGGTGTGTGGTACGTGTGTGGTTGTTGGTCGTGTTTGTGGGAAAGGGGGACGGCTCGTGACTGCCGGATGCGTTGTGACCGCGGTGAAAGGGATGCCGGCGAGGCAAGGGCCCGCTGAGGTAGTCGGAGAGTGTAGGAGCTGCATAAGAAAGTGATGTGTTGTTCTGGTATTGCTATCGGTGTGTGGGCGGTGGGGCTTTTGGGCGTCGTTTGAGGTCATGTGTTTCACCGGCTCGTTGGAAAGGACATGGACGGGCCAGGCGAATGCCTCGCCCTGTCACGGCCATCCATCGAAAACCCCGCGTTTTCGAGACTAATGCTGTGAAGCAGGCGCGGCAGCGGCAGATACGGGGAGTGCCACCCACGGCCAGATGTAGGCTTTGAAAGCACCAGGGCTGGTCGTATGAATATGATAGGATCTGGATTAAGGCAGTCTGGCAGTCGCGGTGTTGTAGACGGCTGTTCGGTACATGGGTTAGATGGTGACACGCGCGACATGGATTTAGTTGTCTTATGTAATGCCAGTTAAAATCATGTTTGTAACTTTGAAACGCCTTTTCTGCGCTACCGCTGAATGTAAAATGGCTGTGGTGGTGTGTGTATACTGCGAATAACAGGACGCACGCCACAATACGTACCAGTTTATTAACAGCTTTCTCCACAATGGAGAAACACTGCACTCATTGCAGTGCATTCATCTCGCACGAGCATTGATGTGCACATGTCACGTGAGCTATTCTTGAAGGTTCACCTTGTGCAGAAGACTTACGGTCTCACAATGACAATGGTTTTGGGCGTTGATTTGGTAGCTTTGGTGATCATGTTGAACCACTTGCCATACCTATCAGAGCCTGGCCACAAGGACACTGCACGAGCGCCGCACAGGAGCCGCGGCGGGGAAAGGTGGTGTGTGTATTTCATGCCACTCTAGAGTGCAAAATATCCAAGCTGTGCGTGTCGCAGTCGTGTGCATCTTGGTCTTGGGACATGAAATGTGTAACCTATGTTTCAACACTCGGTAAATAAATGTCCTCCACGGAGTTCTGCATTTCAAATAGCTTTAAAGATCCTAGACTTATCAAGACTTTTAAGAGATGCCATTTTGCATCGATACATTTATCATACTACCGTTTTGACATTTGTCGTGAACAGGCTGTTTTTTGCGAGATGTTATAGGTGCACCTGTTTCTTTATTCAACTGAACGCCAATATCATGGCATCCCACCAACAGGCGAGCTCTTTTGTTGGAGCGACACGTTGTATTCACTATGTATGTATCACAAACTGCAATAAGTAACTACAGGTGAAAGACGAATGGGTATGTTCCAGGGCTGAGAAGCACTTGATCGTACTAGATTTATGCATGGAAGATCCGGCGTTGAACAAGTCTTCTCACGTCTATCGCAGGATTCAAAAGTTTTGACCTCTCTCGTCAGCGTGCAGAAAAGACCGCCGTTCACTGTTCACACGTGGCTGCGGCTCGGCATCGGCGCGTGATGCGTGCGGGTCGGTTGAGGGGACGCTTGTCAAGAGAAGTGGCGGAGCGGAATTTCTAGATCCAGGTTTCCTCAAAATGTGTCTCTTGGGAACGAAGCACCATGCTGCACACTCCAGGAAAACTTAAATGAAATTCTGAAGTGGCTCTGAAGTGATTGTATGACAGAGATGTGTGAATCTTGGAAGATGTTTGAGTTTCTAGCCGAGTGAGAATCATGTACTGCAATCGGCCGGCCCGCACTGTGTGGAGCTCGGCCCCGACCTCCCAGATCACGTCACTGTACTGTAGCACTGTAACACTTGTACGTTGGTGTAATACGCAGCCAACAATGTTTTTGCGCTAAGTTTCAGCGTGCCTGCGGCAGCGAGGGACGACAGAACAAGACGGCCAAGTGCTTGGTTGGCTTAACTGACTGTTCTCGAGACATTGAGAAGCAGAAGTGAGCCTCACGTCAAGTGTTACACGTAGGTCTTGACTTTCGCTGACATGCCCAGCCTCCCGCTACGTGTTTGTAATAATTGATCTGGACTGGTAAGCGCCCTCCAAGGACTTCGTGTTAGTCCCAACCCGGTGGGCCAAGCTTCCAGGCGGTAAACGTGCCGCTGTAGTAGCAGACGGCCATTCGTGGATGCGGTCTCGCGGTTGACGTCCTTGGTGTACAAAGGACAGCCGAATTAGATGCTATGCGGGAGGTCATTAATAAACAAGGACAATGGGATAGAAGCCAGAAACGGTCCTTTTGGAATTCCAGAAATAACGGAATGTCAAGTGAAAGTTTTTCCGTTAACGATGATTTCCTGGTGTCTGTCAGACAAATGTCAGGACAGATAACATTTGTCCGGCATCCGTCCGTTGTGCTCTTCCACGCCGGCTTAAGGTAGACAGCTCAGTTGGTGACACACGAACACCTGGAAAAAAACTGTTGCTGGGGCCAAAAACATGTGGAACGTTGCGAAACAGCTCGTCACGTACGACACGTTCCAGGATAGTACGACACATCCGTGAAAGCGTACCACTTCGGCATATGTTGCGTCACCGGACAACGATTTTGCAGCTTTTTCTGTTGCGAATAATATAACAAATACTAAAACGGAGGGTACCACTAATTTTGGAGCTGCACGAAGCTTAGAGAAATGGGAGTGAGGAAGCTATGGATAACATATATATTTCCCACCGTGCTTAAAGATATCACGACTTGGTGAAGTGACGAGAGTTTGGTGCCCGCCGATCACCAAGCCACAGCTTATTCTGATTGCACTCATTTGTATGGATGAAGCGGCTTGTGAATGGCTCGTCTGGAAGCTGATTTAGATTTGAACATGCCGTGACAGAAAGAGGTCGTCTATTTCCTAAGCTTTCCGTCATCGACCACGGAAAAGGCCAGGATAGTTCAAGGAGTACGGCTCAATTTCGGCTGTTCGCCCAGACAGGATTTGAGAGGATCTTTTGGGCCGTAAAACGATCGACCCGCTTCTAGTCCTTAGGCATGTGATCGCCTTGTAACAGCCGAGCCAGACAGTCCGTCCTCGCCGGGACTCGAACCCGGTGCCCGTGGATAGCAGTACTTAGTCCCTGCCTCGGCTTTGTCACCTCAGTGGAGCGGTAAGTATATCGAGGCACCGAAGCAGCAGCAGAGACAGAGGCGCCATTGCGACCATCCCATCCACTAGGACAGGGGGCATGGAAAGATTTAGAACTCGGGCAGAATGTGAACGGCACTCAAATGCTAGCGTGCGCACGTCGGCGACTCCAAAGAAACCTTGCATTGGAACTGCCGAATGACGCCGCGACGCGCTCAGTGGGATCCGGCGTTGACGCAGTGTGTCCACGTCACGTCCAACGGCACCGCAGCGTCGAGCGCCCGTGACGCTGTCGTGATTTGCGGTGCGTACGCGCTGTCACTGCGCTCGGCGCCGTGCCACACGGACTATGCAGGTGGCGAATTACGGAGCCGGTCTGAGCACGACAACCCGGACCGAGCCCGCTCTAACCGACCACAGTTGGCTGGCTACCCGACACTCCACGACTCCTGCGTCGGTAGCAGTCGTAGCATTGGTAGACACGGTACGACACTGTGTCCATGGCGGTACAAACAGCGTGCGTTTACATGGTGCATTGGATTCTACATTCCACGGTCCACATCGCCTTTTTACCTTCGCGCTTGATGTGATCTGCTTGCTGCGGTAATTCGTTGATCCTATTTGATGGAACGCGGCTCGCTTTCCCCAATGGGGACGAATCCCTCCAATGAGTGAGTGAAATGCGCCCATTCCCTTTTGAGCATCACGTAATCGCTATGGACGGCTCTACTCTGATGCAAAAGTACATTCCTAGGTGACCATTCTCAGCTGTCTTCAGCAGTGACGGCTTACGGCCCAAACATGCTCATTTATAAACCCATGTGCTTAAATGCTTAAGTTCCCTCGCTATCCGGTCCTTCGGGTGTAATCCTCCTGACCTAATTAATACAGGCAGGCTCACTCACCAGCGGTCATCCCGGGGCCCGTGACCTACGGCGTCTCTCCCTGCGGGCCGCACCAGCAGCTGTCTTGCCGGGCTGCTGAGGCGCGGGAAGCGGCCTCCGGGCCGTGGAGGCGCGGGGGGGGGGGGGAGCGGCCGCCGGACTGTGGAGGCGCGAAGGCGTGAGGGAGCGGTGGTGGGCTGTGGAGCCGCCGCCCCTGGAGCCCGCATTCTCCCGCGCCCAGAGCTGGCCGACCGGACGTCAGCACCGCTCCGCTGGGGCGTGACTGCGTGAGCCTGTGCGGGCCGCACGAACGTCGGAAAACACGCGCAGTCCGGGCGTGTTGACGGATGCCTCTGTGGTGGCAGCAGCCGGAAGCTTTGTGATGGTCTGGTGGATTTTCGTTCCGAGAGGAGCGATGCCTCGTTGCCATTCACATTATGACGCGCGAAATTCTAGTCATGCTGTATGAAGATCCATTTCGGCCTGTGTTAATATGCACCACACTGATGCAAGAACTGGAGGGAAAACGCGCACATGCGACGGGTATGACTGCTGTAACACTTACTAGTGGATAGATTGATCCATAGGCGTAGGAACTCTTCAAAAAGTGTCGGGGGGGGGGGGGGGGTTCAAGCTCAGGGCCTACTTCAGGAACTTTTTTCTAGAAAACAAACCCGATGACAGGGGGGGGGGGGGAGCTGGATATGGATGTTATCGCCCTTTATTCAAATGTAATGACTTCTATCCTAGATATGCATGTAGAGCTGTTTCTCACTGGTGCACGTTCTTGCCTATCAGACTCATCTGTGTCATTCGGCAAATAAGGATATACAGCGTCCAAAGATTATTCGTCCATTGCAACATTGTCTCTCCTGGGAGGCGAAATTCCACCAGCGGGTAGGCACTTTGAGTCATTGAGGAGGCATCTGTCTCCACAGGGTAGATGCCACGATATGGCCTAAGCATAGGCCGGTGAGAATTTTGAAAGTGAACCGATGACTCACAGCACAGCAGACTTTGCATGCGCCTTCATTTCGCTGCCTGCTTTTCAAGGGATAAGACTTGTCGCGCCATTTAAGGCGGCAGGGGCGGATCTAGCCTGGAGTTGTTTTTTTTTGGGAGGGAGGGGGGAAACCGTTCGTCGCCAGCTGGCTGGTGCGGGATCCGAGGTTCAGTGCACTTATCAAACACGATGTTTGCGCCGAGTGTGACTAAGCTGTGTCAACATGCGTTTTATTTTAATATCCAAATCGCTGCCAACTTTTCTTCATGAAGTTTTTTCCGAAGCGGAAAGAAATGTTTGATGCTACACTTTCAAAGTTAAAACAGAAGGTAAGTAGACGAAACTTTTATGAAGTTCTAGGAATGTTTTTTTTGGGGGGGGCAAAACATACTCTCAGAGTTTTTGGAGGGGGCTATGGCCCCGTGCCCCCCCCCCCCCCCAGGATCCACCCATGTTATGTGGAAACAAATTCAGAACCTTGAATCTGCCAAAAACCACGTGACAAAAACCACGGAACTGGAGATTCTCCTTTGAAAACCAAGTCACACAATTAAAGCCCTTCTGTCATATAGTCCTTGTCTGAGCCCTGCTCCCGTCCGCCGTCAGTGACCACTGCCCTGGCCCGGCTGTCTCCGAGAGACTGACCGTGAACTGACGGCATGGCTGCTTTGTTGCACATTTCTGGATCAGCATTGCTACTAATTGGGATGCAAAACATGTGTTGGACACCTGCAACAGCACCTTTTTCCGAAATATCTTCCCTCACACCACACCACTCCAGAAAGATGCTTGCGGGAAGCTGCCTACCTGAGGTATGAACTGGCTCAACAGACATTTAATTGCCCGTCATTCAACGAAAATGGCTTATGGGGATCCGCCCTCCAAAAAAAAAAATCCCCGGATATTGTTTGCTAGTTACCAAGAGATACGGTTGTCTTCGTTTCATTGCTATTTCTGCGTTGCAACCAGAACAGAAACCAGAAGTTACCGTGAGATAAATTTGTTTACATGTTTAAGGTCAATAGACTGCAGAAATTAGGCGTTTAACGATCGCGTGGAATGAATCACCAGTGTC